TGTAGGTTTGTACCATGTTTGTCCTGTACATTTTGTTTAACAGAATAATAATCATGCAGTGCCTCAACATTCTGTTATCACTATGATTCTATTTCAAACCATTCGGTTTTGTTCTGACTTTGGTTGAAGAACTCGAGTCCGTTTCTTCAGACTTATTCGTGCGGTGGCTGTAACTCACAGAAAATTTTCACAGTTTAGAGTCTTAGCCAACTTCATTCGTTCGCCAGTCTTCATAGTTTTTACTTTAGTGCCCGTGATGTTGACTATCGTTTTTGGAGGCCTTCTTATCACCACCTAGAGAAGATCTTTGTCTAGATGGGCTGGCTTTAGCCTGTGAATGCTAACAATGTCCGTGATATTACCTCGTTGAATGACAAGGTGTGTCGGGTGTCTTGCGGTAACTTTAAAGGGTCCTTTGCATGGTGAACTGAGGGGTGGCTGTGTTTTATCGCTTCCCTTCCAGACATAAGAGAAGGTATCCAAGTCCCTGGGTATTTATACCGCTCTCGATTGTTCTCGTTAAGGAATCACCCTCAACTTAGTTATTCGTAGTTGAAGTGTGTAGACTTATGCAGCTTGATCAAAGCTGTTCTTATCAGCGCCAAGACTGGTGAACTCAACAGGTAGTCTTAGTGTGCTTCCGAATACCGTTTCTACGGCCGAACATTGAGAATCAGTTCTTACTAATGTTTAGATACCAAGCATAACACTAGGAGGAATTCCGTACAATGAGTGGGATTAGAGTGAGATGTCAATGCAGTGTTCAATTGTCGATTAAAGCGTTCTATTAACCTGTTGGCCTGAAGGTAATATGCCGTGCAGCGCATTCGACAAGTTGTTGAAAAGCTCTGATTAAAATTGAGCTCCCCTGTCAGTTGTTATTGTTATGGGCACACAGAATATGGTAATCTAGGGTTGATAAAAGGCTTTCGCTGCCGTTTTAGCCGTAATCTCAGCAAATCGTGCAGCTACGAGAACCTGGTTGACCCATCAATGCATGTAAATAAGTAAGTGAATCCGCTTGAATATGACAGGGGACCAACCAAATACACATGAACATGAGCGAAACGGGTATCCGGCTGTGAGTGTTCCTATAGTTGGCACAGTGTGTCTACCCGTTTTAGCCCTCTGGCATGCCATGCATTCTCCAAACCACTTCTCCACATCGGGTTGTAGGTTTGGCAAGAAACATCTTGCCGAGATAACTTTAGCTGAGGCTTTTGCTCTAGGGTATGATAAGAAGTGAAAATGACTAAATATAGCTTTTCGCATAATTCTAGGGACGAATGGCCTGGGTGAATTTTTCGTTGTGTCGCAGTATATAAAGTTGCCATCCGCAGGAGATGTTCGTTGTTCAAGTTTGAGACTAGGGGTTACTCGCAGTGAGGATAGGCTTTAGCTCTTCGTCATTCCTTTGATTTTCGGACAGTGGTTTGCGGCACCGTATTTCCATCCATTCTGGTATGTGCATTAGCCACACAGTTCTTCATATCACTGATAAACAGTGATATAAAATCGGAGTAACGAATTTTGCGTGGTGAGTATTTGTCTGTTCTCGCGTCGAGTGCGTAAGTAAGAAGCTTTTGATCTGTGTAAATCGTGAATGGTCTGGCCTTTAACGTATGACGAAATTGTTCAACGACTAGTTAGATTGCTAGAAACTTCCCACCGAAAGTAGGATACCTCATATTTATAGGATCAAGTCATCCAAAGAAGCATGCCCTTGGTTCCCAGCAATTTTCAACTAGCTAGTTTAGAGCATCTCCCACAGCTCCATCTGATGTGTCTACCACTAATGCAAGAGGAGCATCTGAATTGGGATATTTCAGGGTTGTGGCTCTCTCCAACGCTTCTTTCAGCTGTGCAACTGCCTCGGGTGTCTCTTTTGTCAACTGAAAGTCTTCTGATTTCCCCCTAATGCATTAGTTATGGACTGCAAGTATTGTGCACAATTAGATATAAAGTGTCGATAGAAGTTGATCAAGCCCAAGGAACTTCGCAGTTGTGTGAGGGATATGGGTGAGCGATACTGCCCGATGGTGCCCAACTCTTTGAGCATTGGCGCGATCCGGGTGCTGTTAGTGGCATGTCTCTGGAATTCGATTATTTCTACCCAAAGATCGACTGTCATACCGTTGTCTTCTGATTTGCGTAACATAGCCCGAATAAGTTCTTCATGTGTGTTTATATCCAGACTAGCGATAAGTAGGCCGTCTATGTACGCTTTGGCCAATGACAATTCACGAAGCAAGTCATCTACGAATCTTTGAAAAGTTTGTGCAGCTTTCTGGGGACCTAATCGCATCCGCATAGACTCATACAATCAAAATGGAGTCCTGATGGCTATTTTAGCTTTATCTTCGTCAGTCACTGAAATGTTGCGATAGGCGCGAGCTAAGTCATTTGAAGCTAATATTGTGGCACCTCGAAGATTTTCAGTAAAGTCTTGAAGGCGTAGTACTGGGTACCTGCCTGGGACACTTTGCTTGTTTAGGGCTCTGTAATCACAAGGGTGCCAACCAGTTTGATTTTTCTTAGGGACCATGTGTAATAGAGAAGTCCGTTTACAATTCGAGGGACGAATAATCCCCAACTGAGGCATAATCAAATTCAGCTTTCGCTATTTTTAAACAGAAGAGAAGAGGATAATTGCAGTCCGGTCATAATTAAGTTTTAGTAATAGGTGAACAGAGTGAATTTTGAAGAATTCATGAGATTTAAACTCTGGCATGCTATATTTTCAGAATTTCTAAATGATTTTCCCCCCACTAAACTGTAAAATGCAAATTGTGTTAGTACAAAATGAATCAATGGTGAACTGTCGGTGATACTAAATGCAACAATTCTTGGAATTATATGTTAGAATTTTGGTTTGGGAGCAGCGTTCATCACCGTTATGTGAACGCTTGATGAAAATTCCATCTACACAAGAATCATGTGAGATTTATAAAATTTCACAATTTCGGTCATATAACACTGAAGTGGGAAAATTTCAATTCGTCCTTACAGTGCCTAAAGCAAAGAATCTTGTGTAGTAATTCCTGAGTGCTATTAACTATCTTATGCTGAAGACGGTAGCAGTACATTCATAATCTTTTGCTTCACGTGAAGTTGCGGTGCAACTCAATGTTCAATAATATTTCTACTAATTGATTGAGGCATAAAGTTTTCCATACCTTCTGAACAACTTTTGCTTATTCCATTTAAGAAAATAACCTCCCATGTATGAGCATACGTCATTTTTTTGAATGGGAATTTTATAAAAGTTAAATCTCCTGTCAAAACATGATCCGTTAAGCATGCTGCTACACTCCCTGTTCATAGTGCGAATGATCTGTGTATTAAAATGAAACCCAGTCTGTTCAACATACGTAAAAGCAGAAATGAATACTGAAATCATGCGAGGAGTGATAACAACTACCACGCCAGTAATTTCAGCGGTTTCAATAAATAGTCTAAACATACTAGTACGACGTTAAGAGAACTGAAAAACATGCATTTGGCTTTTGAACTTACAACCTGCTTAAGTCTACAACATAGCGAAGATGTCAGTATCTAATGGTGTTTTCTGCTACAAGTGCAACAAATGTAACGCAGTTGACCTATGTTACGCCACCGATATTATTTAGACGAGAAAAGTTTGTAATGAATAACTGAAAAGAACGTAAAGTATATTTTCTGTCATTAAACCAGCATGACAACTGACTACGACATAAACAATTTCGGGAATATGTTATAAAGGCACTCAAATAACGCCAAACATGCAATGGAAATGATACAACGTTTATACCTAGTATGTGGAAATTCGCATTAAAAACCAGGAGCCAGAAAGGCTATGTAAGGCAAGTTATAAAGTCATATGAATACACTGATATGGCTATCATCAATAAATTGGTTTCGAAATGTAGTCTAATTATAAATATTGTGTGAGGGATCAAATAAACCTGTCCAATATGTCAGGCGTTAACTTTAACTTAATAACTTCAAGTAGTGCGACAAGAACAAGATTTGGATTGGTAATCACAATCGAAACAAATACTTATCGAGAACGCGGAAATCATTACTCCCTTTTTAATCAATGAGCTTTTATTAGCTGGCGTTTCTGTTGAATAATATTTACCACTGTTGAGATGAAACACTTAGTGTTTCTTAGTAATCACAAACCAGAACAATCGAAAGAATAATCCTTTTCAGAAATATTCAGTAACTGAACAGTGTATCGAAATAATCAGTGAAATTACCAACCGATAATGCACACAAGGGGAGCTGGCTGAATGTTTATTTCGAATAGGTAGTGAAGGGCAAGCAAAGCAGAGAGACCCAGTTGGACAAACAGAGGGGCACGCATTATCGACTGTTGTTCATCGGTCAAATAAAGCTTTATGAATCACACAGATAAAGTTTACACTTGGGGACTAATCTTGTCCTACAGAATTCTCCTATTAGGCATTCATTCGATTCTCCAAACCCTGATAACTGTTCGCTTCGCTTGTTTTGACTCAAATGCTACAGAATATTGAATGAGATTTTTAGAGAGATCAGACACCTTAGCGCAAGGTAACAAGCTATGATAATTAAACGGCCAAGCATAATTCCCTAAAGTTTCCACATTTATCTAAACAGTCAGTGATGTACTTTTCTCGCTCATTACTCATTCTGTTATTCATATTGCCGAAAAATGCATCCACACAAAAGCAAATCCAGTAGTGTGAGTGACTGTCATGGATTTCACATAAGTGTCAGCAAATAACAGAAGTATAGCCTGGATTTCTGGACACGGGACAGCAAAAGGACCGTATTTCAAAAGTGGGACCACCAGTGTTAAATTAACTATTGCCTCGGTCTTCCTTCATTTCTTTAAAGTGATAGAATGAGAAGTACAGTTATATCACTATCATGGCAATACTGAAAGAAGTTTTACTTCACTACTGCTGTGACGCTTGAGGACAATACAAAAAAGTTAACCTTGGCCCCAAGGTTAGTGTGGGTGCTCAATTCAGATGCCGAGATATGGGTTGATTGTAACTGTAGTTTTCTTACTATTTTGGTGCGGGACGGAGTTCATTTGTGGCTTGCACAATGTGAGCAAAACTGCACTAAAGTATTTGCATTATTACTTGAACTTTATGTATCATTTTTATAGAGCTCGAGTAAAGGAGATGTTTCTTCATGCATATTATAATTACAAGGTATTTTCAGCATTATAATGTATCATCTAAGTTTTAGAATAATGCATTTCCTGCTGATGAACTTATGCCACTCAGTTGCAAGGGTCGTTACCGTTGGGAAGGTGTAACTAGAGGTGATATAGACGATGCACTGGGTAATTTTTCACTAACAATGCTTGATGGTCTCGATAGTCTATTCGTAAGTTCTAATTTCATTATATGACGATTTACAGTTAATCGGTGAATTAGATGAGTTCGATTCTGCTGTAAAGGCTGTAGTAGAGACTGTGAAGTTTGATTCAGATGTTGATGTTTCAGTTTTTGAAACAAATATTCGTGTTCTTGGGTAAGTTGTTGGATTTATTGGTTTATTTTATTAACATATTGCAACATGAAAAAACTTAACGTACTGAATCATAATAACATTTGATAGAATATCTTGCATTTTAAAGCATTGTCTCTAAATTAAATATTGTAGTTATCACTAGATTTATTTGACACGTTTATATCTGCATTTACAAGACAGCTTTTCCAGGTAGATTTTAAAATGCGTTTTATTGATTGTTTTAGAAATTAAACTAATTGGCACTAGATTAAATGTTTACTTTTAAGTTCGATGTTGCACTAAAATGTATTAAAAGAAAAACTACTTTTTCCTTAGTCCTCTTCCGTTTGTAGAATAAGCACAGTTGGCCATTAAAAAGTTTCTTTAAACACATTCCACATCTAAAATCCAGACTTTTGGTTTGTAGGGTCACTGGTTTTTGATAAACATTGTTTCGCCAGTAAATCGAACTAAGTGTATAATTTAGTTATTAATGCACAAATGTTTACTACTTATCTGGGCAAAGTTTCATTTGGCTTCCGTCGTTTTCAGTGCACACAGAGTGAAGAGGAAGTGAAGAGCCATTAAGTAGAGGAGTTGCATTAGTAGAAGGAAGGCAAGATAATAGAGATGAAGATGAAGACAAAGGTGAGTGAGGATTAGAGAGGTTTCGCGTGCACTTCGGATTGTGAGGGCGATTGTTACTTCCCGGCTGCCCACACCGTTGAAGTTGGTTGCGTGACCGCAGAGCCCAGGGGACAACTGCTTGAAGCCGGTCACACACGGCCTGTTTTTGTTTGTTCTTTTTCATTTGGTGTGTCTCAGTAGCATATTTATCACTTCTGCCCTGTGACACGGCAGCAGAAAGCGCGGTCGTTGTTAATCCGGGCCCCGACCGATCCGGCATGATATTTTGTGATTTATTTGGAGTCATAGTATTGGATTGGGTAACTGCTTTTAGTCTAACCGCTATCCAAACAACCTTTCTGGCATGGTAGGACCTGCAGGAACAAAAGTTCCAGCCAGTATAGCTTGTTGGTATTGCGGTCATTGCGGGCAAAGTTAAACTATCACAGCCAAAACCGCAGTGACCTCGAACGACCAATCAGAACTCAGATGCAAGAAAGTCGCATAATCGTTAAAAAATACACTAAAAATATATTGCAAACTTGATATTACGCTGTATAGGTGTAGCTTATGTGTTGTAAGAATGTCTCCTAGTCAATACACAGATGATCCAAAGAGGAATCGTACCATGTGCGATATACCCACTCATCCGGGTGACTGTTTGTCGTTGATATTTCTGACACTAATCTTCAAGCAACTCCTAACTCTAATCACAATCCTAACTTCTGAATCCAAATTTAACCCTAACCTTATCCCTAGACCTTAATCTTAAAAGTCATAACCCAGCAGCATACATTTACAGAAAAAGTACCTAGTAAATAAGCAGAATACTGTATCCATCCTCGTCAAGTCCAAGAAGGCAAACATGACTTGATTTGAGATGATATTTCATAGCATTCCCTGTGTCTAATCGGTTCTTGAAGGTCAACCTGTAGAAGACCTTGACTTCGGCTAAGATACTTTAACTTCACTCTTATCTGACCTAAGCCATAGATAAAAGTATCTCAGTGCTTCACTGTACATTATTTTAAATCACTGCAACAAAATTGGTAACCTCAACTGACTTGAGTGTTTGCATAAGACGTCTTAGAAAAACACGACACTAAGATAACCAGCTATTCATTTTGAAGCTAATTTTAGCCTTAAAAATATTAGGTTACATTAATCGGTCTTCATTTGCACATACCAATGTATTATGATACCGTTCTAAATACAGTTAGTGTACACCGTGATACGCCATATAACTTCGATAAAATGCTGTGAAAGTATGGCGACTTGAATGATGTCAGTCTGGAAATAAATAAATAAATGTTCCAAGGTGAAATTTGTCACGAACCAGCATCAAATGAAAGGAACATTAGAAACCAAAAAGCAGCACTAAATCATTGTTTCAGTGGTAGCTTGCACTTAATATTCTATGAGAGACTGAAACAAAAACCGTTATGTTGCAAGGTGAGAACTTGACCTTCTAGTCACTGAGGCAGCTCATAAATTCTAACTTTCGTCAATTCTAGGCATTATTACTTTTCAATGTCCTAGATGAGTATCTGTTCTGATTCTGAAATCTGATTTCTTTGACCTTAGCAGTCAGAGTTAATCATTTCGATTCCAGGAGATCCATCTTGTGGATAGTTTCTAATAAGTGATAACATGCTGGCATTAACACCTAATCCTCTTGGCTCCATTTTCTGATGTGGTTGTTAATGATCACTAATAGGGAGCTCCAAACAAAAATGGGAAAACTACCATGTGCTTATCATTTCCCAGTATTTCTACACCTTTTTTCTACTTTTAAAGATATATAAAGCAGCAAAATATGCATTTAAACTACGCCGTAATGAGTTTTAGTTACTCGAATTTGACATGCGATAAATGTGTTAAAGTTCTTGATATTAACGAGTTTCTCAAGTCAAAATAGGTATGGTACAATCTGATCTTGAGTCCTGTTGGTTAAAAGTGGTTTGAACAGTGAATTTATAGACTCTTCACTATTTTACCTTACTATTGTGGACTTAAATTATAGAACCGATTGAAGTTAAGCATAAAAGAACGATGGTGGCTAAATTTTTCAATTAGTAAGTGTGATCATATTGGGCTACTGATTTCTGTATGTCTATAAAACTCAGAGGTATTACATCTTACTTAGGTTACACTCAGAGGTTCTAGAGGTTCCATATTCTTTGGAAACTTCAACAGTTTCCAGACTAACAATATATGGAATTAAATACACTGATTTGGTCTTGAAGGCACTTAAATTCGAGGGGTATTTAAAACCCTTATTACTACGAATCTTAAGCTTTGAAGAAATCGAGATGCATAATTTCGCCTTCACATAAATGTGACTGACATTTCACATATTGATTATTTCATGATGAACTATTCGCCACAGTCTCACTCTCTCCTGTTTAATGCATACTATTTTGTGCTTGCCACTCACTAGACACCTTTTACAACCTTGAACTCGTCAATTTTCTTTCCCAGCATTATGTGGATCTATTATGACTAGTCACCCATTTCACAATGTTTTGTAAGTGCATTCTCCCCAACCCGTTTGTCACACAAACACTATTTATTTTGTCGCTCTATAACTACATCCGTGACCAGTAGGGTACAGCAGGTTGAAGATGAGGCAGTAACTCATCAAGGAAGACATTGCGAAATGGTCGCGCTATGTCGTGAATTGGCAGAAGTTAGAATTCAAGGACCATTGAGTCGGGTTCCAGTGGCTCAATGGTTTACGAGCTCGCTAGACTTGTAACCAGAAGGTCCTGGGTTCGAACCACACATTGTGGGTGCGTTCTGATGAAGAGTCCCAAACTAGGTGTCGAAACAGCTGTCCAGTACTCCACTGCAGATTTTCAATGGTTCTCTAACTGATGTCAGCTCATGATGAAATCCTCCAACCAATCAAACTAAATCCCTACAAAACCAATACTTGAAAATTAATCTATTATTCTATGTAAGTCTAAGTATATGCACCACATAACTAGCTATTATTGTAATAATAAATAATATTATATTTTGTGACTTTAAGAACCTGAAGAGAATTTATTGGAAAGGATTGTGTTATTCCCCTATGGTGTTTCAATCCAATGAGACATATTTTACATACATAACACTCTCTGCTATTTCATATAATTCAAGTGTAGGGTTCTGATAAAAAGAAATTTACCAAAAATGCTTATTTACCCAAATAGTTTTTACTGCATTTCTCTTTTTGGATGACACTGAAATTTTCTTGTGAAAAACAAGTTGTATTATACCTCAATCAAATCACCAGATGCGTGTATCAAACTATTGGATTCAAGTGTAGAAAAATGCAGTTCATTGGCTTAAGCAATACTCAACATTTTAGTCATGGGATCAGAGGTTCCAGTTACACTCGACTTACTTCACCTGGGGGGGGGGGAGGCACTTGAGTAGTATTATCACTGGTTGACTGACTGACTGACTTCTCACAGGAGTGCAGCAGATCAAGTTACCACACAAAGATAGAAAAAGAGGAAAAATAATAAAAAAAACTATAATGGGTAAACATGTACGGCGTGTGAAGTGGCATAATAAGGTGAGCAATATTGAGGTTAGGCCATCGGTCGAGTGCTAGGTAAGGAGGGGAAATCAATCGACGAGACTGTGAAGTTACATCGACTGAGATGGTTAGGACATGTGTTACGTACACATGCCTAGTCATCGCCTTCCTCGACGGGCAATGTTAGCTGATATAGGGTCAGGCTGGAAAAGAGCTAGCGGCGGTCAAACCAAAACATGGCACCAGTCAATGAAATCTACAACAGTTAGTCTAGGCCACGTAGGAAGGTGTAAACTTACTGGTTGGGGTCCTCGGGACGGTAAAAACCAATGGTTGGAAACAATTGGTGACATGGCTCAAAATCGTTCTCAATGGTTAGCGCAGATGCATCCACTCCTTGTGACTTATGATTTCCAATGAAACTGTTTTGTTCTTCGTTATTACTATTCCTTTGTCTCACACCTCTGTTTACTGTCTGTATTATGCATTTCTTTTACTTTCTTCTCTTGCTTTGTGTGCTACAAGGAGGGAGTGTGGGGACTTGAAGTGCTGCACATCGGTGCAAAGTTCTATGTCGAAAACAGACAGACAGACAAACATGTACGGCGGAAAGAATATTAAAATAGTGAATGCATGTGGACGATTGAGAACGCTTTTCAATCATATCACTAAAAGTCTCCAGCCATTGATTTTTAAAATCCCCAGGACCTCACCCACGCAATCTACACCTCTTTACATGGCTGGCTTAATCCAGCTGTCAAAGAATTCATGGACTGATGGCATGTTTTGATTTTACCACGCCTAATTCTTTTCCAACGTAATCTTACGTCAGCTAAAATTGATTGTTGAGGAAGGCAGCAGCTCAGTATGTGTAACACGTGTCCTAACCATCTCAGTTGGTGTAGCTTCAAAATCTTATCGATTGACTTTTCATCCTTAGCTAACGCCTTACGCCAAACCTCAGTGTTACCTTATTAAACTGCTGAATACGGGAGATAGAGTGCAACTATCTGTGGTCAAAGACAGCAGTTAGCCCTCTGATATGTTTCCTACCTCCAATGGCCAAACATGGGAAATGGGAAGTCGCATCAACCATCGCATCATAGTGTGATACATGAAAAATCTATTGCGAGTAACCTACTGATGGTTACCGAAATTGTGCTCAAAATAGGAAATGTTTTGAACGTAGTTAATAACGATGATTATAATGATAACAAAATATTGATAATAAGGTTTATGCAGGTGGCGATAAGAATAACAAAGGTAGTGAGTGATATGTGTATATGTAGACAATTCAATAAATAAATTAGGTCAAATCTTTAAAAATTTACTTTTCGGATATAGAAAGAAATTAATCGCAGAAAAAATTTGCGGTCGATGAACTCCCTGAGGATTTAATATTTGATTTCATTGAGTATGTCGATAGAGGTAGCCAAAAGAGAGCAGAGAAAAGGAGAACGAAACTTATCAAATCATTAGACAGTCAAAATCCTGAAAGGGATTTCCCTTCAGACCCTTATCGGTACGTCCATAATTTATCATCTGAATTGATAACAACCAGTGGTGTCCGTCAGGGATGTCTACTTCCCCATTTCTGTTTAACTTCATCATAGATATGCTAATGGAAGTATCCTTAACTGAACTTAAAGACTTAGGAATCGACTTGTTACCAGGGAATAGTCTTATGGACTTACAATATGCAGATGACATAGTCCTGTTAGGGGAGGATGTTGACAAAACGCAGAGTCTTCTGAACACCTTGAGGAGCAGCAATCTTCGTATGTTTGGTATGCGATTCGCCCCTGTAAAATGTAAGATGCTGCTACAGGAATGACTGGACTACGTCAACTCCTAGCTTAGTGATAGGGAGTGAAGTGATAGAACATGTTGACCACTTCACCTATTTGGGAAGTTGTATCAGCACCAACGGATTGATTGGTGACGAAATCACAGCACGGATCCAAAAAACCCCGAGCTGCTTTCGCTAACTTACACCGTCTCTGGCGTAGGTGTGACATCCAGCTATCAACCAAGGGACGTGTGTACTGCTCAGCAGTTCGCTCTGTCCTTCTCTATGGCTCTGAAACATGGCCAATACGAGTTGAAGACATGAAAAGGTTGACTGCTTTTGATCATCGATGTCTACGATCTCTTTCTCACGTTAGGTGGTATAATAAGGTAAGTAATGTTGACGCTAGGCGTAGAGTGTTCGTTGGGAAAAGAGGGAAAATCAATCGAAGAGGCTATAAAGTTACATAGATTGAGATGGCTAGGTCACGTGCTGCGCATGCCTAACCATCGCCTCCCCCAACGGACGGGCATTACTAGCTGATTGATATAGGTGCAGGTTGGAAAAGAGTAAGTGGTGGCCAAACAAAAACATGGCCTCATCAATCCATGAAATCCTTAACAGTTAAACTGAGTCAGGTCGGGAGGGAGATGCAGACTTTGGGGGTTGGGGCCCTCGGGAGTCTAAGAATCAATGGCTGGAGACAATAGGTGACATGGCTCCAAATCGTTGTCAATGGCTTACGCAGATGTATTCAGTCTCTGTAATATTCAGTCTCATATTCCTTTGTACCATTACTCATTCTGTTTCACTCTTATACTTGTCAAAACTCTACTGATTCTCTTCACTCATTTCCTTGTCTACCTTTGTGTGGTATTTGGAACGTGGCAACTCGAACTGCTGCACTTGGGTGCCAAGTTCTATGTTGAATCCAACCAGCCAGCCATAATTTTCCAAGTGTTACACCAGATAAATTACAGTTAGAAGATTTATCATTGGGTCCTAGATTTTGTGACCAAAAATATAAAGTCAACCAACTTGATACCGATATCCAGTTTGAAAACCTTCTCCTACAAAAAAAAGATTTGACCCCAACGTCAGACAAAAGTGGTGCCTTCAAAGTTATCTATCGCATTCTATCGAGCCTTTCGAACGGAATTCGAACCCGTCTTTTACACATAGCCGAAGCTATGGGAATTAGTTCGAGAGAACAATCCTAGTCTTTGCATACAACAAAAGAAGTTTGTTCTACCTTTGTCTCTCCCTTGCCTGGCCCTAGGTGAATTCTAATCAAAACCCTCCCACCCTTTCTTATTTTCCATCTCCTTCGTACTTTTATGATATTTATTTAAACTCTGATTATCTGTCCACTTCACCTTTAGTATTACGTAACTTTTAAGATTTGACCTAATTTACTTATTTATTAAATTGGCTACATATACACATATTACTAACTTTGTCACTCTTATCGCCACCTGCATAATCCTTATTATCAATATTTTGTTATCATTATAATCATCGTTATTAACTACGTTCAAAACATTTACCACATTATTATTTGATCCACAAAATCACCGTTATTGGTTAAAAAATTTTTATATATAAATCTGTTTTTTTATTCCTTTACGTTCCTAGTGAAACATAGGGCTTCAAGCTAGTGGCTTGAAGTTTCTGTAGCAGAGTTTATTTTTACAGGATGGGGTTGCTAGCCTCATGCCCAACCTTTCCTCTTTAACAGCTTTTTATTTCTGGTTTAGCGAGGCAAAGGAGTGCGTCGGTCGGGGATCGATCCCCGGACCATGTGCATGGTCGGCGAACATTCTAATCGCTGTGCCACCGACGCACACATAAATCTATGTAAATTAGAGTAAAGCCTGAAGAAGATCTAATTGAAAACAACAATATTGTTCGCCTGTTATATGTCTTGCTCTAATATTAAAAATGGGAATATTTAAAGATTCAAAATGGGAAAGTACTACTTAATACCTCAGTCTGTTCATCTAACCATTTTTGTGGATTGTTTCACAATCCACTTAATTAACCTAATAACTCGGCTACCAAAAATCATGAACAGTTCAAGTCTAATCCAAAAACTGTACGGCTCACTCTTGAATGTAAAGCATCTCTAACAACGATGTAGGTCATCTTGTTAATTTCATTTTACCTATTTTTTTCTTATCTTTTTATTGATGAGTAAATACAAGCATATGCTCTTTTTTCAAGGGGTTTATTGGGAGCTCATGTTGCTGCACTGGCAATTAAAGAAACTAACAGTTCTCGAATGATTTGGTATAAAGATGAATTATTAAAAATGGCTATTGATATCGGAAATCGATTATTACCTGCATTTGATACACCAACTGGTATTCCCTACCCTCGAATTAATTTACGTTATGGTTCTTCTGGTTTAAAAAAACAAGAGGTTAGTTTTTCTTACAAAGTTGATTTTATCATTGTAGAAGTTTGAATTTTGTTTCTGTCCTATGGATTAAAATAGTATCAGAGTTCTCTCCTTTCGATAACTAATCATTTAAATTTTCTATAATTGGTTTATAAGGGTTAGTTTTGTTTCTTCTTACGAGTTGATCACGGATTGATAACAGTTAGAGAACCATTGAAAACCAAGGAGTACTGGACAGCTGCTGTTTCATCCTAGTTTGGGAATCATCGGCAGTACGCACCCACTGCCAGGGTTCGAACCCAGGACCTTCCGATTACAAGACAAGCTGAGTCGTAGACCATTCAGCCACTGGGACCCAACTCAACGGCCAACCCATGAATTCTAACTTCTACCAATTCGTGATTTCAGTGCGACTGGCACCAGCCAGTGTCATTGACGAGTATTTTTCCTCATTCCTGATCCCACTGGTCACGAATTCTCACTAGAACTCCAAGCACCTTCATCCTGAAACCAGTCACTAGCGAGCACCAAAATTAATTTTCAACAATTAGTTTGTAGAAACTTGATTTGTTTTAAGTTTTGATCACGGATTGATGTCAGTACTGATGAATCCCAAACTAGGACGAAACAACTGTCCAGCAGCACCCCCTGGTCATTTTCAATGATTTCCTAACCGATATCAATCTGTGATATGACACTTGAAGCAAATCAAATCCCTACAAATAAACTATTGATTATATTAGACCGATATGCTCAGTTTCTGTCGACATGTCGGCTCCCCAGTATATACGGACGTTTGGACGATGTCTGAGGATTAATGTGATGTTGTTTTTTTGTTGATGATATGACTAGCTGTGGAATCCAGAGTCTCTGTCTCTGTCTGGATTCAACATAGAACTTGGCACCGAAGTGCAGCAGTTCGAGTTGCCACGTTCCAAATAGCACACAAAGGTAGACAAGAAAATGAGAGTGAAGAGAATCAATAGAGTTTTGACAAGTATAAGAGTGAAACAGAATGAGTAATGGTAGAAAGGAATATGAAAGATTACAGAGACTGAATACATCTGCGTAAGCCATTGACAACGATTTTGAGCCATGTCACCTATTGTCTCCAGCCATTGATTGATTCTTAGAGTCCCGAGGGCGGGCCCCAACCCGGAAGTCTGCATCTCCCTCCCTACCTGACTCAGTTTAACTGTCAAGGATTTCATGGATTGATGAGGCCATGTTTTTGTTTGGCCACCACTTACTCTTTTCCAACCTGCACCTATATCAATCAGCTAGTAATGCCCGTCCGTCGGGGGAGGCGATGGTTAGGCATGCGCAGCACGTGACCTAGCCATCTCAATCTATGTAACTTTATAGCCTCTTCGATTGATTTTCCCTCTTTGCCCAACACTCTCTACGCCTAACGTCAACATTACTTACCTTATTATACCACCTAACGTGAGAAAGAGATCGTAAACATCTGTGATCAAAAACAGACAATCTTTTCATGTCTTCCACTCTCAATGGCCACGTTTCACCGCCATAGAGAAGGACGGAGCGAACTGCTGAGCAGTACACACGTCCCTTGGTTGATAGTCGGATGTCACACCTACGCCAGAGACGGTGTAAGTTAGCGAAAGCAGCTCGAGCTTTTTGGATCCGTGCTGAGATTTCGTCGCCAATCAGTCCGTTGGTGCTGATACAACTTCCCAAATAGGTGAAGTGGTCAACATGTTCTATCACTTCACTCCCTATCACTAAGCTAGGAGTTGACGTAGTCCAGTCCTGTAGCAGCATCTTACATTTTACAGGGGCGAATCGCATGCCAAACATACGAAGATTGCTGCTCAAGGTGTTCAGAAGACTCTGCATTTTGTCAGCATCCTCCCAGAGTGCTCATTTCTCTCCATTTGAAACTCGTCATCTGGGTGTACCTGCAATCCATAATGAGTAGTGGTGCTCCCACTGAGACTCGAACACCAAAGCATTATTCACTTGGGCCATGACAAGTCCTGAATAGGACGAAATGTGAATTCTGGATCCCACTGCTAGTCATCATCAGCCAAAAAAAAAAAACAACTTCCGGTGGTTGTCTGTCTAACTCTCAGCTACCGATGAGAATCACCACAAAATCAGCCAGATTCTGGTAAATCTAACCTCTTAAAAATTTATTTCTCTTTAAAGTTTAGAGGTTTCTCTTTAAAATTTAAACACCATATAGAATTGAAGAAGTTGAGGTTAGGTCAAAAGAGGACACACACACACAATGCTTACTGTCATGGAAACGATTAGGCATGGATAAACATGCATGCATTTATAGAACTAGTTTTCAGTTATTTTTCATTCTTAAATGTATTGCACACACACACACACAGACATCTTTGCTTTGTGACAATCTCCAGAAAGATCAAACAAAATAACTCAGGATTAGTAATATACTTGAATATATATACTTGCTTATTGGTTCAATTTTTGCATGCCCTACATCAGTCGGGTATACAAAACCCTCCAAAACCTCAGGATGGTCGGGGGTGGGTGCCTTGCGCTGCGGGTTGGCCACCCCTCCGCACACCTCTTGAAATGCTCCCATATGACCGGGCGTCTTACATAGCCTCTCCTGAGGAAGTCCTGTTCACTGCCTTTACGTTGCGGAGGTGTTTTTCACCAAAGTGAGAGAGCGAAAGCGGATGCCCGGCGCTCTTCACCGGGTTGACTGTCCATTGGATGACAGTCTAGGGGAGGTGGCTAAACCCTGATTCCAAACCTCCAATGACTGGCGTATGAAGCTCACTGGAGCTCACCGGCAGACGTATGTACAAAGGGCTTGTTGGATGTCCTGGATGTCTGGATCCATTCAAAAAGGCGTATGAACCGAACTCCGGTCACCGGCTGCCAATGGATAGTGGACTCCCTACTCCACTCCTTCTGCCTTGTAGGTCACACTCGGTTGTGTAAAGGCTAGAGCTGCATTCTCAAACAAAAGGCCGAGCGATTCTGGGGACATCACTCGTACCAAATTCCCATGAAACTTCATGAATTCTCTTCCAGTACTGGTCCAACAACGGCGCCTTCGGTGGTTTGGCCATGTTCTGCGCCGACCAGATGACGATCTGGTCAAATCAGTTCTAAATCCCTCGCCATTACCATCTTGGCGATGTCGCAGGGGTGGACAGCTGAAAACATGGCTTGGTACAGTCAAGGCTGATATGGAGTGCCTGGGGCTACAAACAGTCTACGGACTCCGTCTGTGGAACAAGAATTGGATAACCCTGTCGCAAAACCTTGCATCAGATCGCCGCGCCTGGGCAGCAACGATTCGAGATGTTCATGAAGCCGGCTCATCCTCCCGTAGGTGATAGCCGAAGTAAAGTAAAGTAAGTAGTAGTATTTCCTTTCAACGACTTCGCTTTCAAGTGCTAATTTATAGGGATTCGATCGATTTAAAGTTGCATCACGAAATGATATCAGTTAGAGGGGAACTACTGAAAACCATCAGGGAATACTACTGGACAGTTGTTTCTCTCTGACTTGGGATTCTTCATCAGTACGCATGACTCTATGACTCCATCTCTAGGGATCAAGCCAGCCGGGAACCTTCAGGTTACGAGTTGAACTCTTTTGACCATTTATCCACTGAAACGGAATCCAATTACTACCTATGAATTGTAACTTTTGCCAATTCATGCCACTGCCACGGCAAACCAATTTCACCGGTGAGTATTTGTCCTCCTACCTGACCTGACGGACTCCATTGGTGACGACTTTTCGACCAGAACTTCAGGTATCTTCGACGTGTAGTCAGTCAGTCACTAGTGAGCATTACATTTTTTATTGATGTCATTTTCAACCTGTACTATCGTACTACTTATATTACTTAAAAAAGGCATTAAGTGGTATTAAGCATTGCTAAGTCAATATACACGTAATGAAAAAAAATAATTAACATGATATTCAAAGGGTGGGTAGAATTGAAGTGAATGAACTATAGATTCACAAGTGATATTACTCATGTGGGGAGCATTCAATTCTGTCGACCGAGAGGTTCTCTGGCGATGCTTGGCTGTAAAAGGAATGCCGAGAAAATACATTGCACTGATTAAGGCACTCTACTCGAACTCATGCAGCCAGGTGAGGGCTTACGGCGAGTTGTCATATGAAGTGGTGACAACTAGTGGTGTCTGTCAAGGATGCCCATTATCCCCATTTCTATTCAATTTCATCATAGATGTACTAATGAATCTAACCCTAACTCACTTCAGAGACCCATGGATTGACTTGCTACCATCAGGGAATAATCTCGTTGACTTAGAATATGCAGACGATATAGTCCCTCTAGGCGAGGACGCTGACAAAATGCAGAGTCTTCTGAACACCTTGAGCTGCAATCTACGAATGTTCACCATGCGATTCGCTCCCGCCAAATGCAAGATGATGTTACAGGATTGGACTACACCGACTCCTAGATTAGAAATAGGAAGTGAAGTAGTAGAGCACGTTGACCGCTTCACTTACTTGGGAAGTTGCATCAGCCAATGCCAACGGGGTGATCTCTGACGAAATCTCAGTACGAATACAGAGGGCTAGGTTCGCATATGCCAGTTTACGCCGTCTCTGTCTTAGTAGACGTGATATCCGGCCGACTGTCGACCAAAAGGCGGGTGTACTTCTCAGCAGTCCGCTCTGTCCTCCTTTATGTCTGTGAGACCTGGCCATTGAGAGTGGAAGACATGAAAAGCCTGGTTAGCTGTCTTCGATCATAGGTGCCTGCGTTCTATCTCCCGTGTGTGTTAAGTGGTATAATAGGGTGAGCAATATTGAGGTTAGGCATCGGTCGAGTGCTAGGTGATTTGGAGGGGAAATCAATCGACGAGGCTGTAAAATTACGTCGAATGAGATGGTTAGGACATGTGCTACGTACACATGCCTAGTCATCGCCTTCCTCGACAACGGGCGATGTTAGCTGATATAGGGTCAGGCTGAAAAAGAGCTAGCGGTGGTCAAACCAAAAAATGACTTCATCAGTCAATGAAATC